GGCAACGTCCCAAGAACTTGGACACGCGGTTAGAATTAAGAAGTGGATGTGCAAGGCTACCGGCTACAAACCACCTCCAGTTCTACCCCCCAGCAACAAATTCTTTAGGAAGTGAAAGCTAATTGAAAAGTACTGTTTACACAACATCAAATATATGAAATACCTAGGGAAAAATCTGGACGTGCAAGATATGCAAGACACTGTGGGAGAATTCTCCAGAGACTTTTCTAGGCACAAAATCTTTATAGATTTAATTTCATCTATAAATCTCAGCCTATTCAGACTTTGTGATTCTGTTTGTGTCCATTTTGGTAAATTGAGTTTTCAAGGATTTTGCCCTTTTCATCAAAAATACCGTGTTTATTTGATGCAAAGCTCACCATAATGTTTTTTTAAGTTATTTGTTCATTTGTGGCTGTGCTGGGTCTTAGCTTCTGTGCGGGCTCTTCAGTTGGGCCGCGTGGGGCTGCTCTCAGCCCCACTGAGAGAGGGGGGAGCGGGTTTCTCACGGTGGAGCCCAGGCTCTAGGACCCTCGGGGCTCAGTAGTTGTGGCTACTGGGCCTGGTTGCTCCACGGCCCGTGGGCTCTTCCCAGACCAGGGACAGAACCCGTGTCTCCTGCATTGGCAGGCGGAGTCTTCACCACTGAGCCACCCGGGAAGCCCTGTCGTGTTTTATGATCCCTTTTAAGCTTGTGCAATTCTGGGTGACGTGTCGCTCTCCTTCCTCGTGCTGGTGACTTTTGTCTCCTCCCTCGTGGGGGTCAGTCCTGCTGGAGGCTTGTCCACACCCAGAGCCTGCTCAGCGCTCCGGGCTCTGGTCCTGCTGACGCTTTCTGTCGTCTGCCTTCTGCTTCAGAGGCACCGCTGTCACTTTCCTTCTTTCTCTGATTTTCTTTGATGTTCTTTTTCTAGCTTCTTGAACTGGAATCTTAGTTCACTGATTTTCAGTGTTTCTCTTTTTTGACATATGACTTTTTCAATTTAAAAAGTTGTAAAGCTCTGCCTGATAACCACTTTTCTGCATTCTGGTGGATTTAATATGTTGCGTTTTCCTTATCAGTTCAAAATATTTTCTGATATCCATTGTCATTTCTCCTTTGACAAAAGTTACTTAGAAGTGTGAGGCTTACATGGCAGTTGCTAAATTTCCAAATATTTGGGAGCGGGGTGTTTCTTGCTGTCTTTCTGTAATTGAAATCTAATATAATTCCAGCATGGCCAGAGAATATACACTGTGTGGTTTCAGCCCTTCTACATTTGTTGAACCTCGCTTTGTGATTTAGAGTCTGGGCTATTTTGGTAAATTTTCCACACACCCTTGATAAAAGTGTGCATTCTGCAGCTGAGGGATGTAGCATTCCATTATCAGTCCGTTTGGTCAAGTTGATTAATTGTGTTGTTCAGATCTGTACTTTTACTAATTTCAGTACCTAAGAGGGATGCTAAAACCTTCTCTGGAGGCGGATTGTCTGTGTTTCAGTTCTGTCAGCTTCTGATCTCCCTGTTCAAGCCATGTTGGAGGATGGCTGTGTCCTCAGGTTGAACCAGCTGCGTCCTCATGGAAGGCCCCTCCTCTCTCCTAATGCTCTTGCCTGAAGTCTCCTCCGACACCCCTGCAGACGCTTTTGATAACGTGTGTGTGGAGCACCCTGGTCCTTTCTTTGGCTTTCAGTCTGGGTCTTTTTGTTCAGAGTGCATCATTGGTTTTCTCGTCGGGTCTGATGGGGTTTATGTTCACACACGTACTTGTCACCAGCAGTGTGTGACTGGCAGCCGTGGGCCAGGGCCCAGGCGTTGCCAGGGTGCCTCCTGCCACGCTTGGGCAGCAGGCGTCTGTCTCTCAGCCGACGCAGCGCCCACCCGGGACTCGGCTCCACTCTGTCGCTTGCTCAGGCTTAGCTCAAACGCCTGCATATGCACAAATGTTTCTTCTGCCTTTGGGACTCATTCATTTCCCAGGAGTTTTCTTCTATATTCACTTCCCGTCGGCAAAGGTTATCTTGACCCGCTAGGCTGCGTGCGTAGCAGCGACACCCCAGCTGCCCGGTCAACCCACAGGAAGTGGATCCTTGCGTGTGCGTGTCAGAACAGCACGGCGGAGCCCTGGGGACACAGGGCCGGCCCTGGCAGCGGTGGCCACATGGCGACCCCCCATTCCTGAGTTCCCGTGGTCCCTGCTCGCTCGCCCCTGCCCTGCTGTGTTCTGAGTCGCTGCTCACGCAGATCTAGGGTGTTGTTGGAGTCTCCAGGGCTTCTCACAGGTGAGTGGTGGCTTGGGGCTCCTCCGCTGCACCCCCCTCCCCCGCACCCCCCTCCCCCTGGAGGCTCAAAGCCCCCTGTGGACTCGGATGCGTCCCGGCCAGGTGCAGTGGGCTTGCTGGGCTGACCTTTGGGGCGGCTTCATCGACGGATTTGCCCGCGCTTCAGAAATTGGCTCTGGGCCTGGCCCAGTCCTCCCAGGCCCCCTTTGGGAGGGCCCATTCACCCCCTGAGTCAATGCCACAGGACTTGCAGCTAGACACCAAGGCTGTGTGCTGGCTGGGGACCCCCAGTGCCCGCCCCACCCACTGTCTGTGAACAGCGGCCCTGATCCTCCAGGAAGCGTGGTGCTGAGTCCTGGGGCCGTGGGGCTGTGCCCACCGTGCGTGAAAGGGCATTCGGCGTGGGTGGGGGAGGCCACCAGCCAGCTCCTGCAGGCCACATGGGGCTGGGCCCTGGTCGAGACGGCTTCTGCCCTCCCAGGCCTGGTCACTGTGTCTCCTGGACGCCATTGAAGAGGAAAGGAGTTGGCTGAGTATGCATCGTCCCTGACGTGCTCCCCACGTGCACCCGCCCTCTGGGGCGGGCAGATCAGGAGGCTCCTGAGGTCTCTACCCTCACGCTTCCCTGGAACCAGAAGGCGTGGGGGAATCGCCTGGGCCTAGACCCCACCGGCCTCGGGCAAGCTCTTGTTTGTGTGGAGCAGGCCAAGTTCCCCAGAGCGGCCTCCTGCCTGGAGCGCAGCTGTAAACGCCCCACTGTGTCTGCACCCCACGCCGTGCCCCGCAGCGGGCCCCTGTCCCCGGCGCAGACGGTGACCGGGGGCAGGCATGACAGCCGTGCACGGCTCCTCCGACCTCCCAGGGCCGCATGTGGCACAGGCAGCAGTGGGTGCCAGAGCCCATGGCCCCCCAGGGCTGCTGGCGGAGGACCAGGTCCCCTTGGGCCTGAGCACCTCACTCGCTTGGCCCACCCCCCTTCTCGGCAATCAATAGTGTCAGCCCAGGCCCAGAGCAAACCCTCGCCAGGAAGGCCAGGGGATGATGGCGACACGGGGCGGCTGGGCTTGGCCCAAGGGACTTGGCACGTCAGGAGGACTTGGGAGGCCGGGGCCCAGAGCTGGAGTCGCCCTGAGAGCTCCGTGCTCCCCAGCAGGCCACTGCATTCTGCAGCCACAGGCTCGCGTGCTCCAGGGGTGATCCCCCTTCCCAGGGAAGGGGTCCGCTTTTTTTTTTTTTCATTTTAATTGGAGGCTAATTACTTTACAATACTGTGGTGGTTTTGCCATGAATCAGCCACGGGTTTACTGTGTTCCCCATCCTGAACCCCCCTCCCACCTCCTTCCCATCCCATCCCTCAGGGTCGTCCCAGTGCACCAGCCCTGAGCACTTGTCTCATGCATCCAACCTGGACTGGCGATGTTTCACATATGATAATATACATGTTTCAATGCTATTCTGTCAAATCATCCCACCCTCGCCTTTTCCCACAGAGTCCAGAAGTCTGTTCTTTGCATCTGTGTCTCTTTTGCTGTCTCACATATGGGGTCATCATTACCATCTTTCTAAATTCCATATATATGTGTTAATATACTGTATTGGTGTTTTTCTTTCTGACTTACTTTACTCTGTCTAAGGGGTCAGCTTTTTAAATACTTTCTCTCCTGATAGCAGTTCTTCAAAAAGCCTCCAGAGTGGTAATTACCTGGGCAGCTCAGTCCCTAGTTGTGGAACTAAGATTCTGCTGGCCAAACAGCAAGGCCAAAACAGGAGAGAAAAAAGAACCTGTAGATAGTCATCTGGGAGTAACTTCAGAACACCTGCTAACGTGCTGGGAGAGGGGCCTGTGAACACAGTCGTGCACCTGCCCTTGTGGCCTCATTCTTAAGTGTGAGCAGTGTCTGCGTGTCCAGCTACGGACTCAGAGTCAGAGGCCTTCTGTGAGCCTGGGGTTCATGGTCCCCGAGGTGCTGGGTTGGGAGGTGGACCTTGGCACCTGAAGAGGCAGGGCCTGGGGTGGCAGAGGTTGCTGGCACTGGGAATAGGACCAGACCCCCATGCCCCCATTGTGGCTCAGGCTGGTGTCCCGCCTAGCTTGGGACCACCACCGGTGGGACAGACCCGTTACCAGAGATGCCACAGGCTTTGGTGTGGGGGCTTCACACCGTGGGCTCAGGTGGGGACTTGCTGGAAAAATCGATGAGCAGAGTCTGAGTCCTGAAACCCTGGAGCCCTGCTTCCCTGGGCCTCAGAACTGCTCCATCCCCCAACCGCCTGGTCAAGTGGCCCTGACTGGCCCTGGTGCCACCTGGACCCAAAGGCAGAGAGACGCGACTCAGGGAGCCGGCTTCCCTGAGGCCGGCCCTGGGCCCCCAGCAGGCCAGCTGAGGATGGAAAGTTTTCGGGAGAGGAATGTGTGCGGTGTGGTGGGGCTGTGCATTCCTAGGCAGAGGCCGGTGAGCAGGACACTCATTTGCACAAATTAGCCTTTTAGATGGCGAGGCCACTCACGCAAGACTGCTCGGCACAGGGCGGCTTCTGGGGGACTCGATGTCCAGGGCGTGGCTGCAGCCCTGCCGGCCCCCGTGCAGCCTCTCCACCCTGGCCGGGAGGATGGCAGGGGGACAAAGGGCGCTGTCTGTGGGGTGGCCAGGACGGGGCGGGCCATGTGGGCTCCAGTCCCCCCAGCCCAACGCCTCTGCTGGTGCTTTGATGACAGAAGCGCCGCTGCCCTGCCCGGTTAGGCCGGGACACACTGTGCCTGCGGCATCCCAAGTGACTCTCCGAGAGGCCGCAACACAGCAGCGGGCAGGGGCCCGTGCGGCGTGGGGCGCTCACACATGTCAGCGCAGGAGGCAGGCCCCAGCCCTGGCACCCGCCGTCCACCCAGGCCGTCCAGTGGCTGCTCCTTGGCCTCCCAGTCCCTGGGCCCTTCAGAGCGTTCTGCCCCAAACCTGCAGTGGTCACAGGAGGGGGCCGTGGAGGGGGTCTTCTGTCAAGACGCTGCAGGCCACAAGCACCTCATGCAGCCCAGGGTCTGGGGACCCCTGTGGCCTCTGAGGAGGCCAGCCCTGTTGGCCCAGAATCCCCTGAGAGGCCCCCCAAACTGAAACGAGTTTCCTGGAGCAGCCTGTCCCCACTGGAGGAAGAGGACCCAGGTAGCCACCTGGTCCCTGAAGACCTTGGTGTCTCCCTGCAGGCCAAGGAGCCATGGGGACGGGGTGGGGGGCGCTGGGGTCTCTGGCCTCCTTGGTGAAGGGTTGGAGCTGGTGGGCAGGACGACCTCAGTCTCCAAATGCTTGTCCCCAGGCTCCCAGACTCCCCTGCCTCGACCCCGGCAGGCCGCTGCCTCTCGGAGATGCACTGGATTCCGGGGGACACCGAAGCCACAGTGGGAGCTGGCCGGGCCCTATGGTCAGCCAGGACCTGCCTTGGTGTGTCTCCCACAGGACTGTCCCGAGTGAGGCTGCGCGCACGGCCATAGCTGGGGCCCCGGCAGGCACGGACCCCTCCCCTGCACCACCACTCAGGGCCTGAGACATCCCAGGCCCAGGACCCTCGTCACCTGTCACCCCTGCCAGGGCCTCTCCAGGGATGCCGCTCACCAGCCCCACAGTCAGGGTTGTCAGGCCAGCCTCCAAGTTGCCCTTGGTGGAGACCAGCGTCCTGAGGCAGCAGGTCGGCCGGCCGCCCAGCAGTGGACATCCTCCCAGGACTGTGGGACACGCTCTGCAGGGCTGCCCGGCCCCGGTGCGTCCTGCCTGTGTCGGGTGACCTGCTCTGGGCACAAGGTTTGCCAGGCGCCCTGCATGCCAGGCTCCCGGGACACGGGCGTTCACGGGGCTGGGGTGCCGTGGGGCATGTGGCCTTTCGGTGGCTCGGTATCACCACCTGTGAGACGAGGGCAAACGTGGTTCGAGGGAGACACAGGTTCGACCCAGGCTGAGCATCCTGCCCCGAACCTGCAGTGGTCGCAGGAGGGGAGCCGTGGAGGGGGTCCTCTGTCTAGACGCTGCAGGCCACAAGTGGGCAGCTGGTCCGCGGGCACCCCTGGACTGAGTCCCGGGATCCCAGGTGCTCACCTGCAAAGTGGCCGGAGAAGCCCTCGTGCCATCTGCAGCTCGGGGGCTGGGTGTGTGCTGTCTGCCCTCCGCCAGGTTCAGGCAGCTCAGACTAGCTCAGGGGACCCCCCGGGGCTCGCCGGGGAGGGCTTGCTCCATCCTCACCGGTGCCCCCTGACCCGGAGCTGGGCTGGGCACTGCTCAGGGCCAGGCAGCGAGGGTGCCAGTGGCTCAGGCCATCCCGGGCTGGCCCTGGCTGGGCCGAGGTCAATTGGGGGCTGTAAAGGAGACGTGGCCGTGGGACTTCTTTCCAGAAGTAGGACTTGCCAGGTTTATGGAGTGTAATTCTGAGGAAGAATTGCGAAAACAGCACCATCTGAGTCACGCTTAGTGACCCCAGAAAGGGTGTGGAAAGGCCACTCCCCACACCTCCTGCAGCCCCCCGCCCAGGCCAGCTGCGTGCAGAGGTCACCACACAGATTTGGGACGCTGGGGACAGGACAGAGATTCAAGGGTGTTCCTCCCCAGTTCAAGCTTGCTTCCTTGACCGGCTCCAGCCAAGCCCAGGGTGGACCCTGGTCCACCTGAGGACCCAAACCTGAGATGCCCAGACAGCCACTGCCAGGAAACACCAACTGCAGTTCAGATTTCAGGAATAATATTTTCAAAAATCAATCTTTCACACTCTTGCGTTTCAGCTTGTGAAAACAAGGCTGTTTTTCTTGGATGCTCGCTCGGGGTCCTCCTGAAGAACCGCTGGGCTGGCCCCCTCCTGGCCAGCTCACCTCCCCTGTGACCAGCCTGAGAACAAGAGTGGACGCTGACAATATTTTCTCAGTAATCCTGCAGTTCTGACACTGTATCAAATGCGTACCATCTGCTCATGATCAGCTCACAGGCTGGACTGTCATGGGGAGTCCTTTGTCCCCTGAGTTTCCCTCTGGGTTGGGACCGCACTGCCCTTTATTTAACGCAGTTTGGCGTCTGTGAAGATGAACCAGAAAGAACAGGGGTCAGCCACACCGCTTTGCGGTTGCGTGGATGCCCCCACCCCCAGCGCTGGCCGCCCCCCCCAAACTCCCCCTGCCCGCCCCCAGCTCCCTGCTCAGGACATCAGTGGACCTTCGTGCTCGCCTGCCAATGAATATGCTCACTGTTCTGCCTTGAACTTCCCTATTTAGAGATTGGGAGTCACATACGCAGAAAAGTAAGGGCAACCGCTAACCCCCAGTCACTACACCCCGACTCACTCTGTACCCATGGGAACCGCACACAGGTAAGCCCCCCGGCTCCCAGCCCCCTTTGAAAGAGGAGGGCCTCTACCCGGGCTAGCCAAGTGACCGCTCCACTGCTCGCGGGTGCGCACAGCAGTGCTTCCTGTAACCACAAAGCTGCAGAGGCAAGGACGGTGAGGGAAGCTGGTGGTGCGGGGCCTGCAGGGGCCGTGAACATGGGCTGTCCTCCTCCGGGCGGGTGGTCCTCCTCTGGGAGCCCGGCTCCCCCAGCCGCAGGCCTGGCCTGGACAACTCCCGGTGGCGTTGGTGTGCACACCCTCCCGGGCCCATGTGCGTCCCCCGGGCAGACACCGTCCTGGGCCCACAGCTCAGGAAACCGAGGCGGGATGGGAGGGGGTGGGGTGTGGAGGGCTGCCCCCCACTTTTGTGTGGAAAGCTGCCCTCGACCAGGGCTGGACGCGTCCACAAAGCGTGTGTGTGTGTTTGTTCGGAGACTCGGGACAGTGCCTGGGCCCCCTGAGAGCAGCCACGGGCGCTGCCCTCTGACACGTGTCTCCTTTTCCTCCTTCGTGCGCCGAGAAGGGTGGCAGCAGGGTGTGTGTGAGAAGGAGGGTGGAGGTGAGGCCTGGACACAGCAGGGGCCCCGGGTGGAGGGCAGGGCTGGAGGTGCCCCAGGAGGCTGCTCCCACCCGAAGGAGCACCTGGGGAGCAGCAGGCGCGGCCCTCGGTCACCAGCCCCTCCCACTGGCCGCCTGGCCCAGGAACAGGCACAGCTGAGCCCGCCAGCTGAACAGCGTGTTCCTGCTGAAGCCCTGGCGTCCGCGTTCTGCCCGACCTGCCACCGGGACGTGCTCGGGAGGGAGCTGCCCGCAGGCCCATGGGTCACCTTACAGCCTCTCACCCTGGCCTTGCTTCCTGGCACTGCTGTCTGTGAGCCAAGAGGGAAAAGCCCGTGGAGACGGGAAGGTCTGGGCTCCCAGGGGTGACCTGAGTGACCGGCCCCTCATCAGGGCTGCAGCCTGGGGCAGCCGCTGGCACAAAGTAGTGAGAACAGGAAAACCTCAGCTTTTAATACAGACTGCCATGGAGGCATCACCCCACAGCCCCTCAGAGGTGGTGCAGATGTTGGTGGAGTGTCAGGGGTCCCAGCACCAGGGGTCCCAGCGCCACGGGTCCCAGGGGTCCCAGTGCCAGGGGTCCCAGCACGGGGGCCCAGCCACCCCTGTGGGTGGCCCCATGTGGGTGGCCGGGGGGCAGGTCTGCACCCTCCTTTTGGACCTTCCTCTTGACCTTGGTGAGGTTCACAATAAGAGGAGGCTCTTATCAGGTGTTTTCCCTCCTTCTCATTAAATGCTTATCAAACAATAGTGCCAGTGCTGGTGAGATACCTACGGGGTGCAGGATTACGTATTAACTCTGCTAATTAATGTGTATGGCAGAGGGTGGCTCAGACCACCGTCCACAATGGGACAATGGCTTCCAAGGAGAGGTGGCCCCTCAGGCCACAGAACCTCCCCTCTGGTCCGGGTCAGAGGCCCCCTCCCCACACTGGCCACCCCTCTGTCCTCCCCTCCAGAGCAGCAGGAGCACGGGGAAAGGCAACTGCTGAGTTCCAGAGGCCGGTGTCCTAGGCCCTGTGGCTGGAGAAGTGGCCCCTGCCCACCTCTGAGACAAGCCGGGCTCTGGGCACCCCCTGTATCCCCTGCCCTCTGTCCTCCCGCCATGGGGGGACCCCCAGAGGCCAGCCTTGACCTCTGCACCTTCCATTTTCTCCTTGTCCCGAGCCGGCTCAGCTCAAATCACCTCCTGCCTGCCCTTCCCTCGGCCTGTTCAGGAGCCAACCCAGACCCGTCTCACCCACTGTGAGGACCACGATGAGGTCCGCAGCATGGCCACAGCACAGGCCTCAGGCTTTGAGAGTCTGCCCAAAGGTGCGTCCTGTCCCTAGACCACTGTCCCTAGCTGTCCCGGGTGGCACCCGAGCTCGGGGTGTGCCCACCGAGGTCGGGGGGGGGGGGCAGGTATGGACCAGCCCCACCTGGGGTCGCTCTGGGCCCCGGATGAGCTGGGGCCTGTTCCTGAGCCCACAGGGGCCTTGGTGGGGGTTGGATGAGGAGGCTGGCTCCAGCCGGCGGTGGAGGGAGGCGGGGCTGGAGGTGGGGGCCATGGGAGTTGGGGAGGTGAAGTGCGGAGGGTGCCGACATCTCCGCCTGAGAATCAGCTCAGTGAGACCCCAGGGTCTGGGGCGGCAGAAGGGACAACGGGTGCACTGGGAACCGCCCCTCCCCGCCCATCACAAGCGGCCTGGGGTGCGGGGAGCACAGAGCCCTCAGTCCGCCAGGAGCTGCTGTGCAGCCTTTTGACCCTTTGTCCCCTGCCCTGGGGGCTCTCAGGTTCCTGTTCTCCATCCCCTAAGCAACGTCCCCCATTAAAGCCACAGGAGAGGGTGGGGCCTGGGTGGGGCCGAGCCAATCTCGACCCAGCTTCGGGACCCCCCAGTGCCCATACCTTCAGCTGCGGGCAGATTGAAATTGGGGGTAAATTGTGGGGAATCGTGGTGCACAGCTATACTTTTATTGCCCTGGTGGAGTTGCACATTTTTTGTGGGGTTCAAGTGAAAAAGCAGTGTGCCCTATTTACAACATCTAGGACATGTCCATCTGCAGATGAATGGATAAGGAAGTTGTGGTACATAGGCACAATGGAATATTACTCAGCCGTGAAAAGGAATGCATTTGAGTTGAGTCAGTTTTCTAATGAAGTGAATGAACCTGGAACCTATTATACAAAGTGAAGTAAATCAGAAAGACAAATACTGTACATTAATGCATATATATGGAATTTAGAAACACAGTACAGGTCATCCTACGTGCAGGGCAGCAAAGGAGACGGATGTAAAGAGCAAACATTCGGACTCAGTGGGAGAAGATGAGGGTGGAATGATTTGAGAAAATAACATTGACACATATATATTACCATATGTAAATTAGATGACCAGTGCAAGTTTGATGCATGGAGAAGCCAGTGCTCTGGGACAACCCAGAGGGATAGTGTGAGGAGGGAGGCAGGGGCAGGGTTTAGGATGGGGCGGACACATGTATACTTTTGGCCAGTTCGTGTTGATATATGGCAAAAATAATATTGTAAAGTAATTATCTGCCAAATAAAATTAATTAATTAATTTAAAAAAACACAACAACAAAAAGAAAAAGCAGTGTGCCAGGCCCGCCATGCCACCCTAGATCCCCAAGTCCCAGGAGAGGACCAGGCCCTCGTCCTGCTTCCTACTTTTGGGTCATGGTGGGGCCAGCTGGCCAAGCCCCCTTCAGAGAGGAGGCGGTTGTTAGTGCAGGAGGCGCCCAACAAAAGATACCTTCCCCTCAATTTTGCTCTGAATCTAAAACTGCTCTAGAAAAATAAAGTCTTAAAAAATTAAAAAAGATATCAAAAGTAAGAAAAGATACCACTGTCCTGTCTGGACAGGACATGCATTTAGGACTGAGGATGAGCGGGACTTGGCGATGGTCTGTGCAGGGTTGTGACACTGGGCTGGTGATGCCTCCCTGGTCTGACCAGGCCCTTAGCCTGGAGGAGGACGGGCTGGCCTTTTGAAAGGTGGGTGGGCTGTCAGCCTGTGGCCGCAGCACAAGAGGAGGCAGAGGCCCAGGGGGTTTGCTCCCCTGGCCTCATGCCTTCCTCCGGGGACACTCGCTGGGGCCTTGTCGCCACCAGACCTGAGAGCCAGTGTGGTCAGGGCCATGCTCGTGGGGTGGAGGGTGTGGGGCACTGATGGCCATCCCCAAAAGCTGTGACCCGGGCCACATCCCTCCAGCCCTCGCAGCCCTGAAGTCTCTGCTCTGCGCTGCCCTGGGCCCTGAGTGGTTTATGGCACCCTCATCAGCAAGAAGTGATGAGATGTCAAGGGCAGTTGACGGAGCTGGACTCCGTGTCGTTTGAACAGTGAGGAAAAGCAGCGGGGCTAGGAGCTTGTCAGAGCAGAGGCTTGTCCCCTCCTGATGGCGGGAGGGGCTCCTGCCTGGGCT